ATGAATTACTAACGAAAACTCGACAAGTTTAACGGTAATTTGATAAAGTTAGTTGCGCGTGTAGCTTTAAGTAAACTCCAGTCACTTGTGGCCGATGTGAGGAGATAATCCGTCAATGTCATGGTGAAGTTAAGCCTGATGTGTCTGTGGCGCCGGAGTGAAATCAACACAGAGGATAATGTACAAGTTCTTCGGGCGTTCCTAGCCGATGCACCTTTATGTGTTCAGGTTGGCGTCGCACTCATGTAAGTCCATAGTCCGCGTTACCGGCATTTAATGGGCTAATCCAGATCGTTACATTTTATGTTTAACAAAAAATATTTTGTTTTGATAAATATACAATACTAGTACAACACCCGTGTATTACACGGGCGCTTGTTAAAAGATTAATCTTAAATTTTAAAATTAATGAGAAAACTAAATAAATTTAGTTTACTTTTTTACAAAAAAAAAAAATATATTACTACATATTTTAGAATGATATGTGTTACTTATGACTTACATGTGTTATATTATCTTAGTTTTTATAACTTATATCATATAACTACTTGAAATATAAATATATTAGTTGATAAATAATTTGATTTTTCTAATTATTAATATTAAAAATAATTTTATTATTGTTATAAAGATAAATATAAATTATTTTTTTATACATACAATCTGATGTTAAATCGAAACTCATCAAAAGAATATTAATTTGATATATTACATATGTAAAACTGATAAAAAATTACAAAAGTTATTAACTTTTAAAATATATATACAATTCAATAGTTATAATAAGGAATGATATTAAAATGCAATTAATACATGTAACATGACCATAAATAATCAACATATTTATGGTAATCCGAACCTAATTATTTTTGGTTTGGAATTAAATAAAAATTTACCCAAGCCTAATAACGAAGCATGTAATTTTGCCACATAGGATTCTGAAGCACCAGGCAGCCACGTAGGCTCAGCGCGTTCTGGATTAATATATAGGGGGGATCTCCTACTAGTACAACGCCCGTGTATTAGACGCGTGCTTACTAATTTTTTATTAAAATCTAAAATTAATGAGAAAAAGTAATTAAAAATTTCAATACCTTTTATAAAAAATATATATTTATATTATTATATATTTAGTATGACACTTTTTTATTTGTGCGACTTACCTGTGTAATATTTTAATATAATTTTTGACTTACAACATATAACTACATTAAACATAAATATATCAATTGAGAAATAATTTTATTTTTTTAATGAATTTTAATAAATATTAGTATTTTTTATTATTATAAAGATAAATAGGATTTATTTATTTCATATATACAATATAGATGTCAAATCAAAGAGCATCAAAAGATGATTAATTCCGATATATTATATATGTAAAATCGATAAGAAATACAAAAGTTATCAACTTTTAATATACATTTACAATTCAATAGCTAATGGAAGGAAACAAATCAAAAGTCAGGGATATATTAGTCACTTATTGTCTCACTATGTAAAATTACAAAGAATTAAAGGGTTATATTAGTAAAAGTGATATTAAAATACCTAAGTTAACTAAATAATATTTATGGAATGTCAGAACCTAGATTATTAATTATTAATATATCAATATTATTTGTCCAAACCTAATTACGAAGCATGATTCTTTGCCAAGTAGAATTCCGAAACACCAGAAACAGCCACGTAGGCTTAGCGCATTCGTGAATAAAATATAGGGAGAATAGTCAAATAACTAAATCGATAATATTTTTATGAGATCGTGTTCGATAATATATGGACATTTACATATCATTTTATTAATATTTGTAAGCAAAAATTAATAGTGTATTGTAACTTTTAATAAAGTATCATAAATTATATAATTCATGCTATTTATATGTTTATAATTTATAAATATAATCAGGTGCATGGCATGCACAGGGTATGTTGAAGTGGAAATGCTATGATCCAGTTAGGGAACAATTTCGTTAAAGTTTGTAACAATTAGATCATTATAGAACCGTTCGGATAATTGATCTAACAATAACAATTAGATCATTATGGTTAGCATTGAAATGAGTGATGCTGTCAATATTAAATAAAAGAAGAAAGTAAAATAATTTTCCACCAGCCTCTAACAGTTTACCCCCCACCACCCAAAAATGTCACCCCCCATGGCCTAGCCACCTCCGCCGGCAACCGCCATGCCACTCACTCACACTTCCCTCTTCTCTTTCTCTCTCCTCCTCCTCATCCTCCGCTTCCGCCATGGCTCCGCCGCTGTCGACGAAATCCGCTCGCTCCTCGAGTTCAGGAAGGGCATCAAATCCGACCCAACCAATAAAGTCCTCTCCACTTGGATTTACCCGAGCAACGCCTCCGCCTGCCCCGACGCCTTCCATGGCGTATCTTGCGACGCGGAAACTTCCTCCGTCGTCTCCATTTCTCTCGACCGGCTGGGCCTGGCCGGAGATCTCAAATTCAGCACACTCATTCCGTTAAAATCCCTGCAAAACCTAACCCTCGCTGGTAACTCGCTCTCTGGCCGGCTCGTTCCTAGTCTCGGTGCAATGTCGTCCCTTCAAGCGATTGATCTCTCCGGAAATCAGTTCTACGGCCCAATTCCAGCTCGGTTGACTGATTTGTGGTCCCTGCATTACGTTAATTTATCGAGTAATAGATTTTCTGGATTCTTTCCGGAGGGAATTAGGAACCTGCAGCAGCTAAGAGTGTTGGATTTGCATTCGAATCAGCTGGAGGGGGATGTTAGGAGACTGATTCCGGAGCTGAGGAATGTGGAGTACTTGGATTTGAGTGGGAATATGTTTTCCGGGACGATTGAATTGAGTGTGGAGAATGTTTCAAGTCTTTCTAATACGGTGATATTCGTGGATATGAGTGGGAATGCTTTGAGGGGAGGGTTTTGGGGGAATGATGTGATGAGGTTGTTCAGGAACTTGAGGGTTCTGGATTTGGGTGATAATGGGATTACTGGTGAGCTTCCTGATTTTGGGCAGTTGCCAAATCTTCAGGTTCTGAGATTAGGAAATAACCGGCTTTCTGGGTTGATTCAAGGTGGGATTTTGCAGGAGGAAGTGCCATTGGTGGAGCTGGATCTTAGTAGAAATGAATTTTCTGGTGAGATTTGAAGTTATTTATGTATCTGTTAATAATCAGTATTTCACTAATCTGGTACTGTTGGCACAAGATGTTAGCATAGAACTTTGAAGTTATTTATGTTTCTGTTAATAATTATTGTTTTATCAAGTTAAGGTGATTACTGCAAAATAAGCATTTGCAATAAGTGCTTGTTTATTTATTTAACCAGATAACTTGATTGTAAAGATGTGGTTAATTTGATCCTTTTTTCTTTCTTTCACGATAAACTGATTGTAATGCTTTGATATACTTGACCGGCTGAAATGTTCTAGTCTCTAAGGATGGTTTTACATTTCTGTTTTATTCTTAGCTAGACAGTCCAACTAAGAATTTATTGCCATTTTCCCTTCTTGAAGTATTTTTCTTGAATCGGTTGCTCTGTTATGTTTGTTAAAGATTCGTACATTGTGGCATATATAGTGGATAAGCAACAAAATCCCTGATTCTTTTAACTGAAATCTCATTGTGTATCTCACTGATGCTTTTGTGTGTTTCGAATGTCTTAGATATTTCCATGTTTCTGTGCAATTGGTCAAGCATTACACTGTTTGAACTCTAAAGTTTTACATCCATGTTTTCAGGTCCTATACCACAGATCAGCTCAACAACGTTAGGCACTTTGAATCTTTCATCAAACCTATTATCAGGCTCGCTGCCTCCATCAATAGGAAATAGCCGGATTCTTGATTTCAGCAGAAACCACCTATCAGACGACATCTCCATTCTGACAAAATGGAATATAGATTTAGAAATTCTAGACTTGAGCTCCAACACCTTGACTGGAAGCATTCCCGATTTCTCAAATTTCCAAAAATTGTCTGTCCTTCGCATTCGAAACAATTCACTCAAGGGAAACTTGCCTTTAGGCCTAAGCTCCTTGCAAACACTTGTCACAGTTGATCTAAGCTCTAATAGACTTGATGGTTTGATCCCTCCTAGCTTGTTTACTTCTACAACCTTAACAAATTTGAACTTGTCTGGTAACCTCTTCACTGGACCAATTCCTCTCGATGGCTCACATGCAAAAGAGTTGCTAGTTTTATCATCTAGTCCACCAATGGAGTCTCTAGATCTTTCAAACAATTTACTGACAGGCAGATTACCTGCTACTGTCGGTAACTTAGGGAAGCTTAAGTCGTTAAATCTTGCTTATAATAAATTATCCGGGCAGCTCCCACATGAATTGAGCAGACTTATAGCCCTCGAGTACCTCAACTTATCCAACAACTTCTTCACTGGAAACATTCCTGACAAACTCCCGTCCAGCTTATTATTCTTTGATGTGTCTTATAACAAATTATCGGGCAAAATACCCGAAAACCTGTATCACTTTCCTGATTCTTCATTTTCCGGAAACAACCTCGAACCCCACAACAGTGTTACATCTGACAATCATGTCCCGGAACAAACTCAGAACAACAGAAACCATCACAGACTAAAATCAAGCATCCGAGCAGCTATTATCTTAGCATCCATTGGAGCTGCTGTGATGATTGCCTTTATCGTGTTTGCCTACCGTCGTGCCCGGTTTAATGATTTCCCTGCGCGAAGAAGATTTTGTGGGCAGACATCCGAAAGAGATATCAAAGCAGGAGGGTTCAGCCTTCCATCTCATTTGAGCTTGCCAGATGATCACTTATTGACTTCAAACTCGAGGTCTGTGTCTGGGCAGCTTGATCCAGCTGATACTGGTGTGGGGCCCTCCGGAAGAAAACCCTCTCCTGATTCTCAAATAGCATCCTCATCGCATTATTTTGACACAATGGGACCCGCCCAGCTTGATGTGTGCTCGCCGGACAGATTTTCAGGCGAGCTTTTTTTTCTCGACCCGTCAATTGTATTTACGGCCGAGGAGTTGTCCCGAGCTCCTGCTGAGGTGCTCGGTAGAAGTAGTAACGGGACTCTGTACAAAGCTACTCTAGATAGCGGACACATGCTAACCGTGAAGTGGCTGAGGGTTGGTTTGGTGAAACAAAAGAAAGAATTTGCAAAGGAGGTGAAAAAGATTGGGGCAATGAGGCATCCGAGTATTGTTCCTCTGCGGGCTTATTACTGGGGCCCGAGGGAACAGGAAAGGCTCGTTTTGGCTGACTACATAGTTGGGGATAGCTTGGCTTTTCATCTTTACGGTATGGATAAAGAAACTTTTCATTTTACGTTCTGCGGCTGGAGCCAAATTCTTGCCTTCCTTGCATCGTTGCTGTTTTATATTCCATGGTTTTAGATAACTTCAGTAGTTTTTCCTACTTCTAGAAGAAGAGTCAGGCCGGTACGTTCTTATTTTCCCTATTTTTTAAAGTACCATCTGGTGAAAAGATGCACAAAGTCAGTTTGTGTCTGTCCATCGATTCTAGGTTTAGTACCATTTTTCTGAATTAAAACTAGCAGGGATATTCTCAAGGGATTCTGCATCAATGGAATTCTCCTGATGGACATTTTTAATTTTAATGAACATCTTTGTTTCTCATTTGCTCTTTATATTTAGGAATAACCGAAAAACTACCCTTTAGGTTTATCCTAATCAATCTCCCACCTCTAACTTTCTTTACAGATGCAATTATGCAAAATACTGAAATTTCTGTTTGCCATACATATTACCACTTAGATAGACCCAACTCTTAAAACCGGAAAGTCTTTGCCACTATCATCTAGATTTTTTTTTTAAAAAAAAAGTGCATTGTAAAATTTCTTCATTACTATTTTCAGAAACCACTCCCAGGAGGCACAAGCCTCTAACATTCGCCCAACGGCTAAAAATTGCAACGGACATTTCCCGCGGCCTATCATTCCTCCACAACCTTGGTCTTCCCCATGGGAACCTAAAGCCCACCAACATCCTCCTTGTGGGCCCTGATCACAACGCCCAGCTCACGGGCCACGGACTACACCGCCTGATGACCCCTGCTGGCATATCCGAGCAGATACTGACCCTCGGGGCCCATGGGTACCGTGCCCCTGAGCTGGCTCACCTGGCCAAGCCCCGCCCTTCATTCAAGGCTGACGTGTATGCACTAGGTGTGATGCTCATGGAGCTTCTCACGGGGAGGAGCGCGGGGGATATCATTTCTGGACAGTCGGGAGCCGTGGATCTCGTTGACTGGGTAAGGCTGTGTGATCAGGAAGGGCGCGGATTGGACTGCGTAAATCGAGATGTGCTTTGTGAGGAGAGGTATTCGGAGGCGGTGGGCGAGCTGCTTGGTGTGTCGATAAGGTGTGTGCTTCCTGTGAACGAGAGGCCGAGCATGGACCGAGTTTTGGATGATATTCGTTCGATACGCATGTGATGCGTGCATTTTTTTTTTTTTTTCTTTTATTGTGTGTATATGTTGCTGTTGATATTTTTTATTCTTTTCTGGGATTTGTTTATTGTTTAGGTTATTGTGTTTTTGTTATTTTTTATCATTTTATGTTGACTACATTGCCTTGTTTTTTATCTTCCCTTTGGTTTTTGTGTGAAGGGATGGTTTGATCCATTATTTAATTGACTGAGTTCTTTTGTGTTGTTGTGTACTTAGATTATTGTGGCTTGTAAACCGTTACAATTTGATGATGTGCAAAATTTCTTTGGGTATTTGATTTGTATCACAATTTGCTAAAATTTTATTGTAGACTCTATCGCATTTTTGGCCGAAAATTGGGGCGCGATTGTTTATAGTTTGTACATTAAAAAAACCAATCAAAACTAAAATTTAACTCAATTTCACTATCTTTTTTATTATCAATATAATTAAAAAATATCAACCAATTATTCATCCACTCACATAATTTTAACTAACCATCACTTCCAATTATTTTTCTCATACTTTACATCAAATCAACTTTAATTATTATATTTAAATATTATTTTAATATATCCACTAACAACTAACCATACCACTTTTTTTCAAAATTAACTATAGTTAAAAAACAAACCAAATAAAAACTAGTTGAATTAATAAACAATCGTGAATTTTCAAGTAAATTTCTTACTTACCCTGCCAAGTACTTTTTTTTTTCCATCGATAAACAAAATTTTAGTTAATTTTGAAAAAGTGGTATGGTTAGTTGTTAGTGGGTATATTAAAATAATATAATTAAAATTGGTTTGATGTAAAAGTAGGAAAGAGAAGATGTGATGTGATGGTTAGTTAAAATATTGTGAGTGGATAAATAGTGAATTAAGGTTTATGTGGTGTGTATAAATGATTGATTGATATTATTTAAGTATATTGATAATATTGATGATAGTGGGGTTGAGTTAAAGTTGAGTTAAAAAAAGTGGTTGAGTTAAAATGTGAGAATTTTTTTAAAAAATCTTATAAACAAACATGCTCATAACCTCCTTGGGATTACAAGAAGAGACCAAGGAGAGAAATACAAAGCCAAAAGCCAAAACTACCAAAACAACAACTATACCATACCAAAACCCAACTACAACTAATAAAAGAAAAGCAAAACAGAAAACCTGGAAGCTAAAATAACATCTTAAACCCAAAATAAGCTAGAACCCCCAAAACAACATCCACAACAGCAAAAGTTAACAGCAAAACCTGCTTCAAATCATTCAATCCAATTTGAGACCAAGCAGCAAATTAAGATGAGACTCTACTGGAAGCCCAATATGGGTCCCTAGAATAAACTCATCCTAATCAATGCCAAGCATACCAAATCAGCATAGATCGCAAAATTCGGACCAATCTCTCATTGCTTTATCCACACTTCCTTTTCCTCCGTCCATTGATTCTCGAAAAGCCATAAATTTCGGGTCTTCCATAAACACCATAATATATACACTGAGAGTTGCATTCTTCTCTCCACAGCCTCGGATTTTTTCCCTCCACAAATATTATCCCACCATGATATAACATTCGTTGAGTCTTCCCTGAAATCCTCCCAGTCAATAGGAGATAACCTCCATACGTTTTTAGCTCTCCCACAATGAATGAAAATGTGATCAACGGTTTCCACATCTGCTCCACACATCCCACAAATGGCATCAACTTCCACATTTCTCTTCCTTATGTTCACAGCTGACGGTAGGGCTCCTCTGATCACCCTCCACAAGAAATACTTGAGTTTATTGTGAACAGCTAAATCCCAGATTCTTTTCCATCTTTTTATCTCCACTACACCTCTGGAACTACTCTCAGCTACAGTTAGAGTGCTCTGGTTGTCTGTGAGATTAGATATCAGAGTATAGGCAGATTTAATGCTGAAGTGTCCTTTCTCATCAAAATGCCAAATCACTGTATCCGGATGATTGAGATTTCTCAACGGTATGTTCAATATTGCTTCTGCATCAACTCGATCAAAGGTGTTGCTAATCAGATCTCTATTCCACACCCCTCTGTCTGCAAGAATAAGTTGAGACACCCATGTCAAACCTCCTTTATCCGCATATTCTCGAGAAAGGCCAAAATGAGGATTTGTTGGAATCCATGGTGCTTCCCAAATCAAATTGTCTTTACCATTGCCTATTCTCACTCTCAGCCCTCTCCTCAACCATTTTGCCGATTTAAGCCAACACTTCCATAGCCATGAATGATATTATCTTTGGCTTTCATATTCCACCACTTCTTGTCTCTAAAATATTTAGCTCGCATCAGACTTCCCATCAGAGTTTCAGGCCTTGAAATAGCTCTAAACACTTGCTTCATTACTAGAGCATCATTGAAAGCCTCTAGATTTTTGAACTCCAGCCCGCCCTTTTCTCTCTTCCTTGACAAGGTAAGCCAATCAACCCAGTGAATTTTGTCCCTTCCTTCCCCATTAACACCCCACCAGAAATTAGCTGTCATTGAATTTAAAGATCTGATAATGCTTCTGGGAAGCCTAAAGCAAGACATAACATAGACCGGCAAGGCATTCAAAGCCGAATTAATCAGAACCCCTTTCTCAGCTTGGCTTAAAAACTGATTTTTCCAATTTCCTATTCTATTATGAGCCTCATCACCACAAATTTGAAAATATCAGCCTTATTCTTACCTATCAGACACAATGATAAATAAATACGGGGACAGGGGATCCCCTTGCCTAATTCCCCTAGTAGGACTAGTGGACGAACGTCACGAACGAGCCCTCGTGAGTTGTGATGACATAAAGGGAGATATTAATGTATCATGAATATTTAAATTACAGTATATGATAAAAGAAAAAATTGCAATAACTATCATTGAAGTATTCTGGATATTAGAGTATTTCATTATATTGTTCTATTTTATTGTCACATGGCACAAACAATCCTATTTGGCATGAAAAATGTCTAAAAGGCCTTCTAGATGTACGTAGAAGTCATTCTAGAATACTTATACTATATATTATATATTTTTTTATTCAATTTATCTCTCTTCTTCACCCAATTATAATTTAACACATCACAAATGACACTACAATTCACACTAACCATTGGAGACATAATTTTTTAATTTCCTTTCTCCATGCCATTCAACATAAAATGGACACTGTTCCATTGGAGATGTTCTTAATAATGCTATTGTTGGAACCCTCCCTTCATCTCTCGCGTAGGGCGATCTTGTTTTTCAGCCTTTTAACACGACACCACAAAACCCTCACCACCAAGGCCGACAAGACCTGAGTAGACTCACATGCATGCAGGGAGACCGCGCGCACACAAGGCCTACTCGCCCTCTTGATGACCTAGGCCGCCTCAAACCTAGGTCTTGTACATATATCCTTAAGAAATGCATTGTTTTGACTGAAAACTTTTAGAAGGCTCCAGAATTGTATAGATACTTGTAGCAGGGACAAGAAGGGCCCAGAGTCTTGTAGAGGTTTGTAGATAGGGCAAGAGTCTTG